GTCGTTCCGCGGAGCTTCCCCGTCGAGGTTCGGAGAAGCATGGAGGTTCACAAAATGCTGTGCCTGCCACGAAATCTGCACATGAAGGTTCACAAAGTACTGCACCTGCCACGAAATCTGCACATGGAGGTACAAAGTGCTGTGCCTGCCACGAAATCTGCACATGGAAGTTCCTCTAAACTTCCTTTGACAAACCCAAATTGATCAGAGAGCACTTCAAACTTGTGCCGGTTTTGACTTGCGCATGTCTACCTTCCTAGTCGAGGACCACAGCGAACCAGTGTGCCAAAGAATGGAAAACAACGACATGCCACAGTACAGCTGGATGCCGACATTCTCCTCACCAGTGTGCACCAGCGTGGTTGTAAATCCACTTGGCCCCATGGATGGGTGTGACTGGTGCCGTTCTCATGGTTCTTATCCAAAGTGTCTCACACCCCCGTGCGTTCATCGAAGTGCTTCTCCCAACGCCGAAGCGCGTTCGGACACTGGCGCGTAGACTGTGCCACCCGAAGCGGGTATACGGTGCGTTCCGAGCGTGCATGTTTGACTCAGAGAGGAAGTTAAATCTCAGAACTCGTCCAAACGAGGCCGTTTGTGATTGCCAAGGCCACGTTGGTCTAACAACAAAGCTTGTGCAAGATGGCCTAAGCAATCCCGTCCAAAGCAAATCTTGTCTCCAAAAAATGGAACTGAGAGCTAGAAATCACAGTGGAATCCGTTCGTGACTCCCCAAGATGTTCACCAAGCGTCGCCCCTCGTCATCCAGAAGGTGCAGTTCATGTCCATCAGGGTCGATCTCATGCACCTGCGGCATTGAACCATCTCTCAGGTTTAGCCATGACGTGGTGCCAGTAGGTATTGGCTAATCATGCTAAGCTTAGAAAGCTGATCATTGGCGACCTTTCATTGTTGATCAGTACACTTAGTAGATCTTGGTAATTGCGCAAGTACCTGGTAGTCTTGGAGTCGATCATGCGACGGCAATCCATTGACCGACTGGAGACTTCAAAAATTGCAGGTTTGGTTGACCCTCAGGTCGAGGATGCGAACCCCTGAAACTGAACCGCCAAACTTGCCGGTAGCCCGCTAGACGCTGGTCTTTTCTTAGAAGTCTTGGCCTGGAAATCAAAGAGCGACTGCTTCAGGCTGGCGGAGAAGCCACAAAGCTGGCCATCCACATAGGCTCGGATGCCTGCATAGGGCCACAGTGACCAATCCATACCGGCCCGCCTACACACAAATTACCAGTAATCACCCGTCAACTTCCAGCTGCGCCACACCTGCATCCTTGAAGCTTAAGCTGCACTGCGGCGAGTAGGCACGCAGTAAACGCCGCGGCCGCCGGAAACGCCGCATGCACAGCATGTTGGCCGTTCTCCATGGGAACCGCCAAGCTCTCAGGCTTCGGGGAGTGGGAAATGGTGAGAATGGAGAGGGGATGAAAGGAGTTGGCTTTCGATTTTTGTTGATATTTTTACAATGAGTTTGAAGACGAGAGTACGGGAAGTCGCAGCCGCAGCAGGAAGATGGGTGGGAAAATTGGGAAATACATGATTCTAGAGCACTGATGTTGCGGCACAAGCTGGCAGAATAGATTGGATCCTCAAGGTTTAATCTTGCATATCTCAACTGATTGAATCTTGCAAGCATTTAGATTCAGTTGCTCGGATCCACTATTTCCAAACACCTATATATAGATATAATTTGAGCCAATATTGTGGGTGGCGGGCCATCGCGATAGAAACGTCACGCAGCCTATGCGTGCTGAGATAGTGAAGGTTGGGAACACAATGTTCCATGAACTGGTTCTGTCAGCATCTAATTGATGACGGTAGTCATCTGTGAGTCTGTGAGTCTTACGAATTGTTATCGTCAACTGCTTTCGATGCCACATCAGAGCCAGCCAAAGAGCCGGCTGTAACACACAACCTGATAATATCCATATACCATTCCATACCTATTCTAACCCACGGTGCAGCCCAGCCTATTTTTGTCATGATTCGCCAGACTAGCCAAGTAACTACCGCACTATTTGGACCGTGACTTTGGCGGTTCGAGGGTTCGATGGCCACGGGATGCAACGGGGGATATCCCAGGCGGCCGTGTGACGGCCACCGCATCGGGTGCCACGAGCCGCGAGCCGGGCCTCTTCAGCGAGCTTGGCATCTTCATCAGACTCGGCCTTTGAGCGAGCGGACACCATGTGCACACGTTCGCCGCATCTGGGGTCGAAGGTAGACAGACTTTGTGCAGAAACAGGTGGAAAAACGTGGTGCAACCAAGACCACTTCTACCCACCAATATATAATTGTATATATAAGACTTTCCGTCCAACACCTGCTTTGACGCAGCATCGGCAACACGCAGCTCCTTGTTTTGCAATGCCACCCAGGGCCGCGAGCAGGGCGCTTTGCGAATTGAAGCTTGCAACTCGACTGCAGCCTTTGGAGCAATCAGCTACGAGTAGGAAAGTCGTGATAGTCATGATTATGGTCACCGGAACCCAAGGCCGCTGACGCGAAGGACAAAGGGCTGAAGCCATCCATGTCCTTCTCCATTCCATCAGCCCCAGCCTCAACACTCTCTCATCTTGTGCATACTGTCATACTGTTGGGTCGCTGAAAACTGAGTGCTACATGTCAATCATTCAGGATCCCAACTGCAACACGTATCAATCAAGTCAAACCGATCCCATCAATCACTGGATCCCATGCAATGCCCTGTCTCGATTCCGATCGTTCCCTTTGTATACTCTGCATCTGTTCAACCAATGTATAGCATGGTGGATATCACTCCCTCGTCCGTATGACAGGTTGGGACAATTTGACAACATCCAATTTAGGATTGAGTTACTAAATGTGTCTGCAAGACCAACCTGATCATGTTCCATTTGCTCATCCCTTTATCTAACTTTTAACTTCATCCAATCCCTCCTCCAATGGTCCCATTGTCTTATCAATTACTTACTGTTCCTTTCTTCTCAAACTCCAAATGCCTCAAATGTACTTGGGCCTTGGCCCAGAAAGAGTTTCTGCACTGCTGAGGGGGGGCCAGCTTCAAGCTTCAGAAGGTTTCCGTGATCCAATCATTCGTCCCTAGGGACCTCATGAAGAGATTGAGTCAGTTTAGTCTTCAGGGGGGATGGGTTCTCCAAACCTCGTAAACCCGGGGTGGTGATTCATCTTCGAATGAGGCGTCGCCTCGTCCTTGCGCCCCATCCTTTCGCCTTGAGGAGTGCATTGGAGATCTCCGTATGCCCCAACAGGATGGCGTAGTGCAAGGGCTGTCCTTTGTTTCAGCTGTGGTCTGTTTCAGACAGTCCACATCCGTGCATTGGGAGAATCGTTCCAAGCTTTGGACCTCTCTACGCCCAAAGAAGACGAACCAAGGCGAGCCTATAAATTCGCCCTCTTAACCTGGCAACTACTGTAGGTTCTCCAACGGGAGCTCTAAAACATTCTAAAACGCCACCGGCAGGACCACCCGACCATTCACACTGCAAGAACCTCACAAAGGACGTCGCAACCCGAACGTTTCAAACATCCACTCCAGGTGGCCCATGGTATGGCTGTGAACGTGACGACTCGATTCTTCACAGCCAGAATGACGCTCCCACAACGCAGGCAGTAGCAAGCTGTTCCCAGCGCAAACTACCCATAAACATCCATAAACCAACTCCGTATCCCCTTGGTGCATGGGGGGGGAACCTCCACTCTTCACAATGTCTGAGCGTCTGAGCAAACGATCTTCTGCATCCAACGGTGCCCCACGCAACAAAAGCTTTGTCACCACATCTTGGTGTCCAGCCTTCGCTGCTAGGTGGAGAGCCGTCTCTTGAGAGAACACGGCGGAGCTGTCGACCTCGGCCACCTTCGTGTCCAAGAGGAGATCCTCAGGCGTCGCGGAAGAGGGGGGGGGAAGTGCTCTTGGCTTTTGGATGCTTTTGGCGGGGCATCCTGAGGCTTGGCTTTGCCACGCACCAGATTCTTATATAATTAGATATAGATATTTACAAAGAAGTTCGAGGCATCTTGCAGAGGAAGGGTTGGATAACGTCTGTCAGAGAATGCATGGTGTGGGTGGATTGGAAAGAATTGATACCACGGAAAGCTCCCATGCCAGTTGATCGTGACAATCTTTTTGATGGGCGAGGAGCTCATCCCAAATATGTGGTTGGGCGACAGCAATCTGTAAAAGGATGTATACAAGGAATGGCTGTTTTTGCATGCGTACGATGGACTCTATAGGTGAAGAATGCCATAAAAGCACAGCCTGGCTTTCTTGTTCTGTGACGATGGCTTGGGAGAGGGTAGAAATGCCCTCGGTGCTGTCCATGCACTTGAGTGTGAAGGGGCGCTGAGAACAAGCGCAATGGAAACCGCTTGTTGTCGCAACATGACATGGTCCCTTTTGTTTTCGGCTTCTGACAAGAACGCGAGCTTACAGGAAGGCAGGAAGGCTTGGGGATGCTAAACCACCTCCAGACCGCTTCGCTCGGGTGTGGAAATCTGGAGGCAAAGTCCTTGGCAGACTATGGCAAACTTGTCAAACTTGTTTTTTCATGTGTTTTCTTTTGTTTCACTATATACTCCTGCATGCTACAAATTGTTCGTGGTTCTGTCGTCTCGCTCAAAAACAGGCCTTCCGCCCTGATTGAACGTTCTTTGGAAGTGGTTGGACTCCGCTGTGCTACTTAGCTCTCCCATTTCTACTTACAGTAGTTTCGCTTGGGCTTGCGGCATTCCGGCCGTACATACACCAATCTCGAGCGTGCGTGGGTGCGGGCGACTACACTGATCTACACTGCCATGCCCCGTCCGGTCGACCCTAGGTCCTAGGTCGTCCATGTGAACCTCTGTTTTTCCGGTCTCGACTGGCTTGCAGCTTGCAGGACAATCTCCTGACCGTAGAGACCTAAAATATCTCTTCCCTGCAGCGGGTGTCTTTAGGTGGAGTCTTCTGTTATTCTCTGCCCACTTGGTTCTGGTCCTAGTTGCAACTACAGCAGCCAAAGTAGGGAAGGAGCTGTCCAAATGTCCCAGGTCTCACTTTGCCTACTTCGAGTCTCTGGATGCCCTTGCAACTGGCAAGTCGCCTTCGGATCGAGGCCCTCCGATCATCACAAAGTCTGGAGTCTGGAGATCAACAGCCCCAGTGCCGCCAATGTGGGCGTAATTGTTGGATTGTTACCCTGCCCCCCCTACATAGAAGCAATGGCCTCCAACCTAAATAATTAATAGATATATTAATAGCGATGGCCTCAGACCTAACCGCGCTGGCCTCCAACCTACTAGCAATGGCCTTCAACCTAATACTGATAGTGATGTTTGATTGTTTGTTTGTTTCCATGGTGGTCATATTCTTCATACAAGGAGGCACCTCTGTTTGAATCCCTCGACAGCCGCCCGCCCCAGTTCGCAACCAACATAATTGCAAGCTTCAGTGTGCACAACGACAGACCACATCTGAAAAAACACCTGTCTGGAACCCCAAAGCGTCAAAGGATGCATGCAAGTTGGGTATGAAGTGCACGGTGGCAGGAGGGAATGACTAGTGACTAGGTGCTACCAACTTCAACAACTTTGAACAACCCAACAACCACCACTCCCTGCGCAAATGATAGGGAATGGTCTTCAGGAATCTGGTAGCCAACTAAGGCGTCTAATTCAGCCTGGGTTCGAGCACTTCCACATGGCCATTTACAGCGGCATGGTGGATCAAGTGCCGCCCCCCACCGGTCGGGCTCGCGGTTCTCGATGAGCTTCAAGCAGATCTGCACCAGTTCATGATACCCTGCCAGCGCTGCCCAATGAAGGGGGTCACGGCCGTCCTGGTCAGGACCCAAGGACCGTCGCGTCATGCCGGTTTTCGTGCTCCACGGGGTGGTCTCGCTATTGTTACTGATGACCTCCAGAAGCAACTCCGCTGCAGCAGAGCCATGGCGACAAGGAAATTGGAGCGAAGCGATCAGAGGCGTTCTTCCCCAAGCGTCCAAGTCTTCCAAAAGCTTCTCAGATTCGTTGCTCTCTAGCAGTCGACGGATCTCTGTGAGGTTATTCTTGGCCACTGCGGCATGCAAGCGGCTCATGTTGTAAGCCTCCTGAGGAGGGGTGGCAGTGGCATACCACACAGTGGCATACATACACATGAAGTTATTGATGTCCGCGTCCCCTTTTTGGGGAGCCCCAGGGCACTCCACACCAGCCACTGACTCATCGCACAAATCACTTGTGTAAACATGTCCGTGAAAACATGTGAAAACGAGAAAACACACTTGTCATTTAAGGGTGACTCCAAAATCTACAGTCTGTAATAGTCTATAGTTTCTACTAGGGCCACTAGGGTTTGCAGGATACGCCGGATACGCTTCACTTGTCATCATTTGTCCTTTGCTACTCGTTCACTCCAATCACTCCGATCACTTCTCCAGGCGCTTCGGTCACACCGAGCGACTGGATGGCTGGTGGCTGGCGACCGGTGTCTCGGTTCAGAACGACCGGACACAACAAAAACCACCGCGTCCGACCATGGGGAAAACATGGGAAAACCACATGATGTTACAAAGTTTGTGTTTGATACAAGTTTGCGGGTCAAGCATGGTACTCCGCTCTGCCCCGCCTCCTGTGTCTCATCCAACGACGTGGGATGGATGCCTAGGAGGAAACCAAAGGCCAACTGCTGCCCTGTGAGCTGGGCCCAATCGGCAGCAGTGCGGTTCTCCAAGTCCTCGTGGGGGTGCGGCAGCTCGGCAGCTGGGCCCCCGGGTGGCTCAAAGCTCTCACAGCAACAGAGGCCCTGAGGATTCCAAATGCATAAACGGATGAGACTCATGACTGTTGCTTCTCATGGAAAAATCCCGAAACCTGGATCTTCAATGGGTATGCAAAAGAAACTCCTCCTCACAGAGTACTCGGATTGTTTGGAGACAAAAAGGCTGAGCCGTCTGAGCGACGGTGGTTCTTCTCTGCCGCTACCGCACTGGGAATCCAATATCTGAGGTTGATGTGACCCATCAAATCCTATCAGTGGTGGTCAGTCTATGCCTAGCCGCCTTCCGGTCTCACTATTGGAAGCCACCATCAGTGCAGAAACCTCGTGCGTCCCCGAAGTGTCTGACTTCCGGGGTGAACCGGGCGGTTGAATGGGTCTCCTCCCGCGCCCGGTTCACCGGGCGACTCGGTGTGTCACATCTGAACACGACGTCTGGGACGTCTGGAAAACCCAAACCAAGAGCCATGGCCTCCAACCTGTTGAGAACCAAAACCGGGGGGGGGCGCCTGATAGGAGGCATTGGCGCCGGCCGAGAGCAAGAGCCGTAAAAGCTCCACGTGGCCTCACGGCTTGAGAAGGCCCAGCTTCATGAAGGCCTCCTATTATATATATATATATAAATGATATTGGATGTGTGAGTGAGTTTCTGGCTTCTCAATTCTCCGTCATGGAAAGTGCGCCTCGTAGGTGACCAGACTCTACCAACCTTCCACTTTCATGAGTACTTCAGGGAGTATGTTCTGACGAACATGTGCATGATTAACACTGCATGCTGAGTTCCAACATCCATGCTTGAGTGGCGGGCTTTCCAACGTGGGTTGTAAATGACAAAGGGCTGGGCTCACAATCCTAGTCAACTGTTGGGTATGACTATGACTCTATGACATACGGTTATGACATCCCTTATTCCAAAGCTATCAACGTTTGCCAACAGTCAATCTATATACAAAGGGTGTATATACCCCCCATGAAATCACCAAACCTTAAATACCTTCGACAGTGAATCTTAAACCTCTGGATCTTTTCCTTTATTCCGAATACTAATATCCTTTCAGTTTCCTTCGTCTTGATTCACAACAATATCTCTCCGAGAATGCCGATTTTCCCTCATCTCCATTCCAAAATAATCGGGCTCTGTCATCTCCATTCCAGAAAAATCATACCCTCCATAGTGCTGGTTCAATTCAATCGGTTTCAGGTCATTTTTGTCTGGAGTTAAGGGTTTACCGTGAACATTGAGGGTCGCTCATCCGGTGAAGACCCTGTACCCGTGAAGCCTTTTCAAGAACCAGTCGGATCAAGTCCATGTGAATGTCATACGATTTTTCATAGTACTCGAATGGTACCAAACCACCGCCTCACCTTCGGGACTGATCAAAGAGTCCCAGCCGTTCCTGTGTCCCAGCCTCGGCGGGCAGCCCACTGCAATGGCTCGCAGTGAAATTCATTCTCCCTGGCGTTGACCGAAGCCTTGGCCTCGATCAAACTCTTGGCAATCTCCCGAGATCCTGCGACGGCGGACGGCGAAAGGCGTTGACGCGCAATCATCAAACACTGGCGCATCAGCCCTACATGGCCTTGAAGGGTCAAAACCTGAGCATGTCTTCCCTGTTGAGGGAACCAAATTGTCCAAACCCTCGTGGATTATAGGTGACCTCCAAGCAAGACCGTTACGAACGTTCCCCAAAACACAAATCGGTCGTTGCACTGGCATGATTCCAACCTATTCGACGCGCTTCACCATGCTTCACCTGGATGTCTTGGCTGCCTGACTATGTCTGACAAAGGCATACGCCATTGGTGTGGAGCCACCCGCGTATCTTTTTGGTTCGTGCACGCATGCTTTCGTTTCTTCCGTCCGCGACTGGCCCTGCGCGGCAAAGGGCCTGTGACAGCGGACGTCTTTCCGCCCAACTCCCAACCTGCATATCAGCGCTAGTTGGTTGGAGGCCGCTACGAGCGACCGAACGCAAAGCCATCAAGGAACCCCACAACTTGGTATGGTCCGACTGTCTTCTGCAAGACGTCTTGCCGCTCAAAAAGCCTTCCGGATCCGTTCGGCCAATAAGTGAGCACCCTAAACCTCCACAACCTCCACCCCGCTAGTCTGGTCCACCTTTGGCCAAATCTTGCAATACAAACCACCTTTCTTTCTTGTTGAATTTCACTTAATCCTGCATCCCATGGTTGTACTGCACATTGACCTCCTTCTTCAATTAACTTTCACAACACCTTTTGCTCTTGTTAGCTCATGACATCCATGCTCACATCCTGCTTCACAACCAAGGCCTACCACCTCTAACGTAGCTCAATGCCCCCCTCGACCTATCTCATCAAATCCGCTCACCTGGCTGTCGAGAAGCCCAACACGGGCCAAAAAAGAACCTGCCAAGGTGGGGCTTCAACATGTGCTTTGACAGTACTTCTCCCCGCGTCCTTTGAGTGCAGCCCAATGCAGTGGAGTCCAGCCCAGTTCATCCGGGGCGGACACCAACTGTGCGGAGCCATTCCAGGATAAAATTGCCTCCTGAGGATTTGCGTTCACTAAGCAGTGGTCGCTTAGTGATCGATTGGAAGATCATCTGAGCCATAGTGAGTTGAGCGCTTTGCGGTGCTTCTTGGGAGCTTTAAGGCAGGATGCTGGATCTGGCTCGAAAGACATATGTAAACCCCGGTCTACATCTTCAAGACCATAAAACATTCTTTGTAGACAAATGCTTTGAGAACAGGCTTCCATCCTCATGCAAAAATGTAGCATATCTTGTTCCAATCCCAGCCTAGCTCTATGATGGGTACCGTGCAGTCTCGCCACACCAAGTCATGCCAAGTCTCCACCACTTTTAGGTGCCCGAGCTCCACTGCTTCATGTAATGGGCTACGGCCCCAACCATCCGAGGCATCATAGGAGTAGCCGCCCTCGTCCTCCACACCTTCCAGGAAGGCCACCGACAAGTATTTCCATGATGCAGTTTCAAACCACCAACTAAATAACACATAGCAATACATCATCACGGCACCAAATACCACCAAAATCAGGAGGCCCCCCCCCCCCAAACAAAAGGCCAGAGAACGTGGCTCATATTTGGGGAGTTGGGAGAATCTCCCCGGTTTTTTCAAGGGGGTGGGGAGTCCTCTGGTGGCCTTTATCATCTTCCCTTACAGTATCCTAATCGGCCCGGCCGCGGGGTGGGATGCAAAAGAGGTGCGACGTGGTTTCACGACGCATTTCAAATCCAGCTCATTCCATGACCACCGGAGCTCCATGCCTCTGGTGCTCAACAAAAGCATTCATATCATCAGGAGGGTGCTTCAACAGCATGGAGCCCATTAGCCAAAGTTGAGACATGTTGATGCCTCTGCGAGGATCTCAGAGAGCGGCAAACAGTGAGTCACCGGCAAAGTCACTGTACACGCTCTGCTGACTGACGGCAACCTTCAACACCTGACAATACTGGAATTAAAAAGAACTCATGTTGGACATGTCAGAGACCCCTCCATCCAGTATGTGTGTTTAGTTTATTAACTTCATTAAAAACTACTAAACTACGCCCATCACTAGCGACAGGCTGCATACACTCATGTGCACCATTCCCCGATGGCACAGAGCCGCACAAACGCATGTTCCACCGAGGCCGCGCAAAACCGCATGGCACAGCCACATTACCTTTCAAATCATGAAATGTTTACAATCAAAGAATATCCAAGAATCTGTATTTTGATGTATTTTGGTACAGGGTTCCAGGGCTTCCTGTAAAGGGAGAGGAGGCCCTTCGATCTGGAGGAGAAAAACAACAAGATCTTCCTTCGCACGACGACCCTTGACATCGATGGACATCGATGTCCTCTCTATATCCAACCGTCCCTGCCAAGCGCTCTCTCCCCCACCTTGGCTTTCCAGCCATTGCCTCACCGTGGCTGCATCGTTTCTCCGCACGGCATCCTGCAGCTGGGCATGCGCGCACAGCAGCAGCAAGGCCGCGAAGGCTGCCATGCCCACGAAGCAGAACACGTCAGAAAGCCGGTAGATCGGAGGATATGAGTGGATGTTGAATAGCAAAGCTGACTGGAACGCATTCAGCAAGAATTAAGAATGTCTCACGAAACAACGTGCAACCAAAAGAAGTGGTGGTTTGGCAGCTATTTGATTATCTTGATTTGTATGTGATCCACCCTCCTTCTCAGCCGATGAACCCTCAGCCTTGAGATATAAAGAAGCGGAATTCAACCATCTGAGAGAGGCTGCTGGCCGACCCTCTTTTATCGGTCGACCCGTGGCAGCACGTGCGATTCCGTGTCGTGCGCAAGATACTATCTGTGAACAGGGTGAAAGCAGTAGTTTCGACGGACAAGTTCATGCAAAGCGTGCGAAGCTTTGCAGCAAGAAAACGGAACGCAGAACTCCGGATCTTAGCCTGCTATAGCTTGCTCACCACCAGTTCCTCGAGGATTCTCCAGGAGCTTCTTTTGGACCCAATGTGAGTGGATAATGGGAACCCTTACCCTCACATAGGTACCCCTTTAATGTAGACTCTTGATTAATCAACCCAGAAAACTAATCAAAGGACCAAAATGAAACGAATCCGTATTAAAATCTTCTTGGTCTTCTCTGGCAATATTAACAATAAAAAGGAATCAATGAAATCTCAAATTGAAGACATTTGGAATACTAAAGGAAAAGGACATCAATAAAGTGGAAATGGAATTCTCAATATATTTTATGGACATCTCAATCCAAAGACCTTCAAAAGCATCCAATCTCAATGGAAATCTTCAACTTTTCAAGAGCTTAGGTAAGTAAAGCAAAGTAAAAGGAAAAGAAAGGGAATGCATACAAATTTACTTAAAGCAACATGTGTTTTAAGCTTGAAATCTCTAGACATTATTCTAGGGACCCCCCTAAATAATGTCAGAAAGCTGCTTGCTGGACTACCCCCTTTGCTTGAATGATTTTTGTGTTTTTCAATAAGAAAGCTGCTTGCTGGACTACCCCCATTTGCTTGAATGATTTTTGTGTTTTTCAATATTTTTGAATAAGGGATTTTGTCAAGAAAGTGTGCACTGACTGTTGGAAACTTTTGGAAAGCTTAAAGACTAAAGAGCTTAGGTAAGTAAAGCAAATCAAAAGGAACAGAAAGGGAATGAATACAAGTTTACTTAAAGCAAAATATGAGCTTGAAATCTCTAGACATTATTCTAGGCCCCCCCCTAAATAATGTCAGAAAGCTGCTTGCTGGACTACCCCCTTTGCTTGAATGATTTTATATTTTTCAATATGTTTGAATAAGGGATTTTGTAAAGAAAGTGTGCACTGACTTTTGGAAACTTTTGGAAAGCTTAAAGACTAAAGAGCTTAGGTAAGTAAAGCAAATCAAAAGGAAAAGAAAGGGAATGAATACAAGTTTACTTAAAGCAAAATATGTTTTAAGCTTGAAACCCCAGCAAACTCAAAAGGGAAAAAGTAAACTATAACAATAAAACATATTCCACTACAACTATCCCGGCCAAAAAAAAGACATTATTCTGGGGGTCTTTATTAATCAGTGCAGGAAAAAGAAATACATTATTCTAGGGGGGTTTATTAATCACAGGTCTACATTATTGAAATTGCTAGTAGCTATGCTTCGTTCGGCAAAATTGCCCCTCTCCAAGCATCCCAGGTGCCACAGGTTTGGTCTAACCCTCTGACGGCGCCGTGCCCGATGCATGGCCAATAGAAGAACCGCTGTCATGGATATTGTGGCATTATTGTGGTATATTAGAGAACAAACACTCATTCTGACGGTATATAGTAACTGAGTACAGCGGGCAAATCAAACGTGCATTGGTGCGATTGGATGGTGTGTATGTGTTTAGATGAATAATAACCATCGGACTACTTCCAGGCTCCTCAGGAATATAACCATCAAAATCCATCAAACTACTTCCGGTAATCTGACATGTTCTTTTTCTCTTGGCCAACACAGGTACCTGATCTTCGTGACTTTGGACGAAACAAAGCACCATCCGGCACTATCCCTGGTTGCACCAGCCCATCGGATTGATGACGGTGACTCGATGACGTTTGTGTTTTCTGTGCATTCTTTGCCATGAAAAGGTCTCTCTCGCTCTGAGGTCTGCACCAACGTCAAAAGCTCAGGCAAGGCATTGCGCCTCTGGCGCCCGCGGAGGGCCTCGTGTGGTGCCGAAGGAGGGCCTTCAGCTGTTGGTCGAAGCTGTTCGTTCTCAAGGGATCTTCAAGCTCGACCCCTTGAGTCAGCCGTTGGGGCCGCCAGGGGTGCTTTCATCACCAGCCGTAAATCATAAATCGTAAATCACCGTAAATCCATCTTAATTCTAATTTCATCAAATTTCCGTGGCTCATGCATGCCATAGAATAGGACATTGATTGCACCCGGCCCTCCTCTCCCTGATCCTGACAGAGAAGAGAGTGCGGCCGCTTTGCCGTAGACCAAGCAGGGTCCCAAACAACAACTCACAGCCCAGATTATGGGCCGTTCATTGAAGTCAAAAGGGGTCCACCAAATAGGCTACCGGCAGCCGCTGAGCTCTAGGCCATTCGACCTTTTCTGTAGCGCTGTGGCATTACTTGCCCTTCTCCTAGTCCATAAATGAACAACATATGAGGTACAGTACGATACAGTCAAAGATTTATGATGCGCAGCTGTTGCATCCTCAAATTTGTGAGTCCCCTATTGTCTTCCCATGTTTTTGAACCGTGCTCTATTAAAGGGTGTCGCCGTCGCTTCTTTGTGAGTTCCCTATAGTTCACCAGGGTTTGGAGCATGCCCGCACATGACTGCAACTGTGCAACCGTTTTCTTGTCATAAATTTAGAAGACACTTCATATGCCGCAGCAACTGCAACCGAAGTGGTGGTGATAGTCTGATAGTCCTCACAATCCCCCTGTGCGCATAAGACAGCTTGTTCCAGCTATGTTCACTTCAGCTTCTATGTTCGCATGCGTCGAACACGGCCCGAAAATCACGGTCAAAAACCGTGTGACTCTGAGTACTTGGCTTTTTGCATTTGGGCTCCCGCGCGTTTTGTCGGTGAGGAGGAGTCCCCACAAAGACAACCTCAGACTCTGGGCACCGCGGCCTCCAACTGCACACCGTGCGCCTTCCGAACTGGCGTTTGGGTGACCGGGAATTCTCAACCCGGGGCATGTTTTTCCCGTGGAGTGAAGGCTGCAGGGATCCGCAGGGCCAGTCACAGCTAGCTAGGTCACAGCGCATAGGCTTACCGACAAGGCGCATGAAATCTGAGAAGCACCCAGGCCAACACCTCAGGTCGTCTGGCCGGACCAGAGGAACAGCACTTCCGGCCTACAACTAGAGGTCCTAAGTTAAGACTTGTGACTTGTGCTCCCGCCTTGGGAGCACTCTTTGGTGACTTGTGGCCGTCCGAGCAAGCTCTTTCACCAGGGATCCAATTGCAGTGGGAGCTGTCGTGTGGAGATGGTCGACGGAGCACGTGGCAAAGAACCAAACACTATCCGTTCGTTCGCAACAAACGATATGTCGCACAACATGTGCAGGGCCCTTCTGGCCACATTCCTCATTTGGCATCCCTCAAAGATAGCTTGATACATGCTGAACATTAAAAAACAATGCCAAGATTGGGCTCAGGGAAAATGGCAGATCCTTTAGGCAGTCTTCACCAGGGGCGCTTCTGGAGTTATCTAGTCTCGTTCCATGCTGCACCCTTGGTTGGTCCTCTTGGCTGTCACCAGCGGCAGATCTCTTGGAAGAACCGAAGGGTGAAGGTGTCGAAGCGAGCCGAGCTGGTGGAACCCAACCGCTTCGTTCCGAATTGGCCTGCCTCAAGAAACAGCATCAAAGCCTAAGCACCCGAGCCTGGGCACTAAGCAATGGTGAGTCGATTGAATCAAAGGCATCCTGGAGCAATCCTGGAGCAAATAGAACATGGATAAACTATAACAATAGGACAGCATTGCTCATGTTTTCGGAAGGGTCTACCATGATCGACCCAGAGCACCAAAGGGAGACACGAACAAAGCACCATCCTCGCGTCCCTCCACCCGAGCGAGGCACCGCGGCGACGAAGCGGTGCCCACGCAACCTGGACGTGAGAGACATGGACCAGCTTAGCCATCCTCAACAAAGGGAACAAGAAGCTACTAGGAACAAGTGCCACGCTAGTAGTAACAGGTGCCTTACTAGTAGTAACAAGAAGCTACTAGGAACAAGAAGCTACGTTCGGGGCTCCTGGCATCGCTACTAGGAGCAAGGATGCTACGAACGGGGCTCCTGGCCTTACTACTAGGAGCAAGAAGCTACTCGAAACGAAGGGAACGTGAGGGAACATGTGGCTGTCTGTGTGCTGAACCACCGGACGCCAGCGTGTGGAGGAACCAAACGGACGCCAGCAGCCACACTGGCCACATGTCCCGGTTTGTTGATTCACCATGGCGTGTTCCGCTTACAACCTTGCTCTGGTTGCTCCAGCCTTGAGGTTTGCGGCATGTGGACGGGGGGAGGCAACTTGGCAAAAGAAGTCAGGAAACAAGGGGCTGTCTTAGACATGCATAATTTAGTGAGTGAAAGTCTGGATGTTCTCTTCAACAAATGCATGTCAAAAGCCCAGGGTTGTCAAGGACGTCTTCATGCTGCTGGGACACACACTACATTACACATACGATATCAGAACGATTAGACTTGTGAACTTGTGGGATGAAATCAATCGTGTCCGTTCAATGCTGACTACTGCAAGTGCCTGCTTGAAGCTTTGTACGCAACATCACGCAACGTATGGGAGGTATGTGCATGAACGCCAAACAAGTTGGTGAGCAAAACTTAACTGAAGCAACTCAGGTCAGTCAAGAACCAAAAAAATGTGAGTGATATTGTCATTGTAAGATAAACATTCGACAAATCCCATGACAAAGGATGACAAGGTCTCACCCAACTGCCCGATCATTGCCTCTCCTTTTGCAGCTCAGTTGGCTCGCGTTCTTGCAGCTCAGTTGGCTACAAAAGTCACTTCGGCTCCTGACATAGCTTGGTGGTAGCAATGCCCAAAACAGATCGCGCTGATGGAGGTGAGGGCAAGAACGCATTTCAATCCAGGAATGGGTTTCAGATGGAAACATCCCCAATGTCGGTGATTTATTAAAACGCCCATCTAAAGGACATCTTGAGGACCACCGTAAAGGAACTTTGGGGAGCATATTGGAGCATCATGACAACCCAAGAACGCACCAGGTGAACATCACCTTCAACCCCAGGGAAAACCATTGTTGATCGAGAAAAAAACCTTCAGCACTCAATCGCCCGCACTCAGGCGCCAAAAGAACAAGACCATCTCCCTACCTTGCTGTCGACCTCAGGAACGATCCACTCAGTGATCCTCAGTGGCGTGCAGGCGCATTTTCAGTGCCAGAGTTGCCAACGAGACACTCTGATCCGCCTTCTTCAAGCATATAACAATGGGGGTAGTGTAACAATGGGTAGGGCTGAAATCCGAGGCTCGGGCTCTATCTTCAGGTCTTGCAACGATTTCTTCATGCCTAGCTGCACGCAAACGAGACACTTTGGTGCACCGAGGCCCGGCTTCAGCTCACAAAGCTGGACATTGGCGAAATTGGCTCTGCAAGCATGTTGTGCACATGCTATGGTACCTAGATTCTATTCACCATGTATCTGGCTAAGGGTTGCACCCAAGAAGCATTACATGTATGGAATCCACCTTCAAAACAACATTGTGCAAAAAGAGGACATTCTGTCCATCTTTCACACCACACCATCATTGAAGTGACAAGAAAGCAGAACAAAAGCGTTCCCGTCCTTTCAAGCATCATTCGGCAAATAGGATTGGAACATAAAACAAAGGAATTCCAACCTAATAGCAATGGCCTCCAACCTAATAAGAATGGCCTCCAATCTAGGAGCGATGGCCTCCAACCTGATAGCAATGGCCTCCGACCTAATAGTGATGGCCTCCAAGCTAACAGCGATGACCTCCAACCCAATAGCGATGGCCTCCAACTAGGATTTGCCAAATAGGAAGGAATGTATGCAAGAGAGTCCCGACGACATGTCCCTTTCACTTTGGACTCTCCCTTTGTCTAGCTCCTTTTCCTTACTCTCCTTGTCTCTTCCTCTGAACTTAAATTTCCATTGTCCTTTTCCGTTTCCTGCCGTTCACTTCCCTATAGCCTATGATCCTTTCATATCCTTTCCCCTTGCACTTCTTCCCAAATGTTCTACGTCAATGTTGTGGCAACAAATGTCCGCCTTTGCAGCGCAAATCCACCATCCTGGGCCACTCTCCACCTACTGGAGCCGCATAAATCCATCCGAAGAAGAAGTCAGCGTTTCTGCTCCATCGCAAATCCATCGCCAATAAGAGGATGGAAAAGTAAGAGTTAAATCCCAGACACTCCATGTATGCCATATAGGGGAAAGCCGTAAGTAAAGCCATAATGCTTCCCAAATGCATTTGAACAAGATATAGAGAAATATAGAGAACCAATTTGGCACTCGCAGAAACTTGCACGAATCAATGCTCGGACAACACGCCCTGTGTTGCCTCCGAACTTGTCATGTCTGATCAGTGGGGCCCACTTGTACAAGTGAGAAAAATCATGTCGTCACGTCCCTCAAGCACCGTTCTGAAGCTTGAGGTACAAGTATAGAAGCCATACCCTTGCCATGAAGGCACGCATACCATCATACCATTACCATTGGTTGAGTCTTGGGAGCCTTGCCGGGCCTTGCAGCTAGTATGTAACTCCTCCGTACGCCCGTTTCTTGGGTGCCCGAGCGCGCGGCAAAGACGGACCAATCTTCGAAAGGCACCTGTGGCACCAACCGAGGGCCGAGGCATCGACCCCTCATCACGCATACCCACAGGTGACCAGCAGCATCGAATATCATCGAATCAACATGTTCCTGCGGTCTTCTCTTCTGAGGCCTGCATCAGGGTTGTCCGGGGTTGTCCAACTCTTGAACTACAACCCCAAAACGATAAGTAAAATTGTCCAACTGACCTTTGCTCCAATTCGTGGACAATCATGGAAGGTTGCTTGGGTGATCCAATCTATATGTAAACCAAATTATACCTAGACATTAATGCACATGCATTATTGATGCATTGAATAAGAATAGTAAAACTGGGAAATGATGTGCTCGCGCATGTTTCCTGCCAATCGAACATATCTTCGACCCCCCTCGCGCTCAAATTCACTCAGCGTTGTCACAAATAGGCTCGAGTCTGTTCTTGGGCTTCCCTGCGCTGCCGGAGGTGGCAGCTTTGGCACGCACTTGATCGGCCTGCTACCGTTTCACTCAGAGCGCGAAAAAGATTTCTCCCGCTGGTTCAGCATGGTGCAGCCATATGGACCAGCCATGGACCAAACCGGATACCTTGCGATTGGAAACCGGAGGAAAATTGATGCAAACGGCTCCATTTTGTGTGAGGATTATATAGCTGCATCGTCACACAGGCAAACTCAGGAGACAAGACTCAAAACAAGACACATCTTCACCAATCATCATTGCTTTCAAGACTGTGTGGTGTCACTAGTGTCGACAAGTTCCTCAAAGCAGGTTCTTCCAAAGACCCGGGAACTGATGGAGGCATCAAATGCATAAAAACTCAAGATTTTCGACTGAGTCGACCAACTCGGCATTTATGGAGGAAGTGACTAGCATGCCCATCCGGGGGGGTCCAGCTCGTCTGAAAGAAACATCGTCGCCTCGAACTCCAAGGCTGAAACCTCCGCAGGGGGAGCCTTATCAGCTCCTGGCCAGTTCGACGGTGACATGGGCAGGGTCATAGTCTCGCAGTGGGCCTGCAAGTATCCTCTACAGCGATCTACAGGAGAGTAGAGCTCCTGCCATTGCCATGCCATCAGGATTGTAAATGGCCATTGCCATGCAATCCTGGCCGTGTCAGACTTGCGGTGTAGGATTGCAAAGAGGGTAGCTTCTAAGCCACTTTCAGCAGCCAATTGCGTGCGGGGTGTCAGGGCTTGACCCGGTCGGTGCTGCAGTGGTCTGTATCCAAACGAACCGCAAAATGCCCGTCTCCCCCGCCTTCAAACGCTTCAAGGGCGTTTCACAAACATCCTCACAAACCCAGTTATCTTCAAATTCTGGGCATTTTTGGGGGGCACTACCCACTCAATACAGTCAAGGCTGGAGTGTCGAGGAGTTTTCAAAGGATGGGTGCCTGTAATGTTGGATCTTGAATAGTATAAACCGTCCCCATCCCCCTAGCAAACAATCGAGGGAGTCTAAATAGAATGCCTACCGTCAAAAGTAGTAGCACTACTATTAACGATGTGGAAGTAGCAGCAGCAGCAGCAGTAGTAGCAGGAGTAGTAGTAGTAGTAGTGGTAGTGGTAGTGGTAGTGGTAGTGGTAGT